GGGGGTCAGGGGACCCCCCATCTGAGGGTTGGCCCCCCTCAAAATATGATTAAAAACCACACTGTGTATTGTAAATAACAATGTTTTATACTTTAAATAGTTGTGTAGGTAATAAAACAACTGTCAGGGAGTCTCTGTCACCAGTCACCCGCTCTGGACTCCATGTCCCAGAATCCTCCCCGGCTCATACCTGTTCTCAGTCACAGTCACCATAGTCATCAGCCCCAGCACTGATTGCCCACACCTGCCTCAGCTCGTTACACTCCCTTTATCCCTGCACTCCTCTCACGACCCTATTGTCCGGTCTACAATTAGCATCGCAAGACAAACATTGTATGTAAATTTATGCCGAGTTCACACGACACGCAAATCGGTGCTCGTTTACGCGAGTAACAATCACGCAGGGTAAATTAACAAAGACGCGATCTGAGGGAATGGCCGACACGTCGCCGACGCTCGCGAAATATTTGGCATGCTAAATATCTGGAGCTGTCTGCGATTCACAATCTCGCTGTGTGAAATGAGTTCTGATGGAAAAACACATCGGCGATGACCTACAGCCAATGAGAGACCAAGATACAAGGCAGAGGGAAGTTCGGGGAGGAGTTATAGACCAGAATATCAGTATTTTAATAGATATATGAACAATTATATCATACAGAAACAAGCACAAACATTTGCTTGACCAGCCACAGCATCAGCATAGCAGTTACTGCTAAATTATTTACCTCCAACTCTCTTTGCAGAACACCCAATCCCTGTTCCCTGCATCTCCCTCCTGCATAATCTGTTTTCCTTTTTCTCCTTGTAGCTGGAAATCAGCTCACAGACAATTTGCGGGCTATATATATATATTTTTTTTTTTAATAATTACAGTCTCGCTGGAGAACTCCGGTCTGATGCATGCGGGTTCTCGCCATCATGCAATGTGAACACAGCAGCAACTGAATGATACCCCAGATAGTCACGCAGTGTGAAAACAACATCGATCCGACGAGTTTGAAAATCGTGCAGTGTGAACTCGGCATTACCTGACTCACTTACCTTTGTCTACCTACTAGTTGTTCCTGTGTTCTGATCCTCGTTCTCCACCTCTCCTGTGCTCCACCGTCTCCACGCACCGTTGCTTCCTCTGGATCCCCCGGAAAAGGAAAGAGGACTGATTACACACAGATAAGACTATGCCCCCTACTCCGGCATTGCCCCCCGCACTCCCTGATCCGCCATGGCTCCTTGGACTGCCTGTCCCGCCATGGCCCCCCGAGCCCCCTACTCCACCATGGCCCTCCAAGCTCCCTGATCCGCCCTTGAGGCCTCCCGTGTCTCCATCTTAGACCAGCCTCCAGGGCGCCCACCCAGGTAACGTCAGGGAGTCTCTGTCACCAGTCATCCGCTCTGGACTCCATGTCCCAGAATCCTCCCCAGCTCCCACCTGTTCTCAGTCACCATAGTCATCAGCCCCAGCACTGATTGCCCACTCCTGCCTCAGCTCGTTACACTCCCTTTATCCCTGCACTCATCTCACGACCCTATTGTCCGGTCTAAAGTTAACATCGCAAGACAAACATTGTATGTTAACTTACCTGACTCGCTTACCTTTGTCTACCTACTAGTTGTTCCTGTGTTCCGATCCCCGTTCTCCACCGCTCCTGTGCTCCACCGTCTCCACGCTCCGTTGTTCTCCTTCAGCCCGAGGCTTATTCATTTCACTTTTGATGTGAAAGGGCTTTTGCATTTGCCAAAAATAGAGCTTTTTTATATTAAACCAAACAAGAAAGCCCTGCCCAGATTTAAAAAGTAACGTAAAAGTAATGTGTAACATAAAAAAGTAAAAAAAAAGTACTTTTCATAAAAAGTAACTAAGTAATGTAATTAGTTACTTTTTTAGGGAGTTGTAATGCATTACTTTTTAGAGTAACTTCCCCAACATTGATTACTATCCCATTGTAAGATTTACAGAACCTCAGACACGTTTATCTTATGAGAAGGACTAAACACATATAGTGTATTCAGATACAGACATCTTTTTCCACATCTCACTGAGAGAAGATGTAAGTGAATTTCCTTCTCACCCATCCACTTCCTTTACTCACTCTCCCCCTCTCTCCCCTCATTTTCTATCTAAACACAGGACACTACAGAGTTCACCGAAACCACTATTCTTAATCAGAGTTTATAACAATGCAACTGTTCATGGTTGATGTCGTTTGAAAGGTCTCTGTGTGTCTGGTAAAGAGGTCTCATCCTCTTAACAATAGGACAGACAGCTATAAAAAGGTAATGCAGATCCTAAGAGTTTAGAGATACTGTAAGTTGATTTCTGTAGAGGAATTTCCCAGTGCCTTTCATGCAAATTACCTTCTGTCCCAAAAGGTGTTAATTCGCCTTGATCAATACAAATTCAAATTGTTAGTTCCTGTCTCCATTTTGGAGGATGTGTGTCTTGGACTGAGGTTACTTAAGGAAATGTGGCAGGAGGATCGCGGCGAATCTGTAGCCAGAAGCCCGTAGTGTGGTGTGTCTCTCTACACTCCACACTATGTATCTTTCTAAAGTCAGGTATGCATTTCTTACTCTTAGATTTATCTTTGAGAATTTGATGTTTTGTATTGATTTGAATTGATTTAATATTCTGAATTCATATGTAATTGGCATAATACATTTACCTTACTGATAATAAATTGTTACATTTGAATTTATTCTGACTTACTCTGAGATTATTGACTCTAATTAATTATGTTAAGTCTATAACACCGCAAATCTGCGCTCAGGTTAGTAATGGACTAAAATGTTTTAGAGCTCCGGCTAACACATTGGCATTAGTTATGTATACTTAGACTGTAGAGGCTATTGGGTTTTTCTGTTTAGAACAACAGTGTGTTGTTGACCAACCTAAATTCGGGTCAGCCCCAACCTCTGGTTATTGTAACATTATTCTAACTAAGTGCACGTGAAAAATCACGGCATGATTATATAAAGTTACTTAGAAGAAGTTAAGTTGGTCAACTTGGTTCTATAGTAATGGTCATGACCTCTGGTTAGATATAGTCTTACCTTAATTAAGTGTTTACAGATCTATGGGGACTAATACAAGTAGAAGGGACAGAGCGGTGTGGAATAAAGGTAAATGATGTGAAAAATAATGTTTTTTTGTTTTTAAACGAAGCATTAGCACATGTTAGACTGCACCCCATAAACACAATCAAGCCTAGAAAAAGACCAGTGAACCACTCCTTTAAATTAAATAACTTTGTGTGCCGAAAAGACTGAACACGCAGGAAACCTTTATCCACCGTTGGATACCTTCCTTGGGTCAATTGCGTGGACCTTACACAATACTTCACAAAACCCTCAAAAGCTTACAGTGATTTCAGTCATTACTAGAGAATTATCATGTTATTCACTTTAGAATACTGATCCACAATCACAACAATTAGTAATTCCTTCTGAAAAATTTGGTAATACTTGTGTCATTACAAGTGGATTACCATGACCTTTATTTTAGAATTAAGTATACATCATGCATTATTCATATTATTATGAATCTGCATACAGTAGTTTTTAGTAGTTCTTGGGGAGGTATGAAAAAATAGTAGCTACTGATTAGCTAATAGTGAACCACATTCGACTAAGCTCTATTACTTACTAATTCATTAATCAGAGTTTCTTGTTAGATACTAGTAGTTACAAGAGTGCTAATATTGTGTTACTTGCGTGTTCTTGTGTAGTTATTCATTAATGATGGAACAGTATTCTAAAGTGCCAGCCAGTTCATCTGGTACAGTGGAATCCCGGCTGTAAATTGAAATCCATGACATCCAGTGTGGATGTCAAAACCAAAACGACATAGCCTATTACTTAACAATAGTCATGTGCCTCAGCAAGTAAAGTCATAATGATATCTTTGCAAATCATTAGCTAATGATAAATTAAAGCAGACCACTGGAAGTTGAAATACACAGCTTTGACCCACTGTGGTAATTAACACATTAATTCACATTATTAATTAATACTGTATTTTGTTAAGAAATTAATACATAATGATATTGAATGAATAGCAGTTTGTAAATTGCTTGATCTATTAATCAGATAGACTCTTTATTAGTTACTGATGGAGTAATCCTTAATGAATGGTTTAGTTCTTCATAAGTCATGCATTAACTCATGATTATCTGTGCATTAGTTAAGAATGAATTAATGCTTATTAGTGCACCCGCAGTCATTCTTTGCTGACAACAGATCAAAGTTTTCTATCAGAGGTTTTGGGCATTTCAAGTTGCTAATGTTGAATGTCTACAAGGATGTGAAAACACTGTAAGTGACATATTCTGAGACAACTAATTATGCTTTGAAATTGGCTGAAATCTTCATGTGAACACTAGATGGGGACTCTCCATGCAGTTACTCAAGTTACATCATCTCTGTTACTCAAGCCAGGCAACAAACTGCATGGTTTATAATTGCATTAACAATTTCTAACCAGTACACTCTTAAGAATTAAGGTTATTTTTTTGGCATCCTTGATTCTATTAGGAAACTTTAACATCCATGGAAGCTTTCCATGATGCAAAGGGTTCTTGATAATTAAAAGGGGTTCTTTAGATTAAAAAAATACTAAGAAACACTAAGAAAAAAAAAATTATTTTAAGAACTGTTCACTGAAACCTCTTTGGGGAACCAGAAATAGTTCTTCTATGGTATCACTGTGAAAACCCTCTTTTGGAACAATTATATAGATTGGAAATTACCTCAACTAGTTCAACTTTCAGTTTATAAAATTGTTCAGAATTAGTTTTTACTGCACAACCTGACATCACACTGATATCACCAGTAATTCTGAACAAATTATATATTCTTTGAAAACACAGACAGTGTTGATGTGTGTTTGAAGCTACTCTATAAATAGTTTAACAGTAAGAAAATGGCAAGAGAGCAAAAGAAGACCACAAAACAGGAAGTCAGTCATCATACTTGCAGATAAAACACAGAGCTCTCAAGTGCAAGAGAAATGTTTTTTAATGTGCCAAAAGACTTTATAATTACAAAAAGCCACCTTGACGATAATAACACTATTTGAAAGCATTATAACACTAATTTTAAGAATAAAAAGGAGAAGAAAATGTGCTATGACTCTGATGTGTATGATAAAGCAATGCCAAATTTGAACATACTGAAACTATAATGAAAACCACGCTGAAATACAAAGGGTGAGACATGTGCATTTAAATACAACACATTACAGCACATTGAGGAAGCATGACATCGGAACTGCCCAAGTTCTCTCCTCACTATACAATTCAGTGTGAATGTTTAATGAATTAAGTGTTGTGTCCTGACTGGTTTACTTTTCCAGTAAACTGATGTTTTATCTGGTACTTTTTCCTCATGCATGCTACTTACTTCCACATGCACTACAGAAAACATCATTACACATAAACTAACATGCTTCTGTAAAATCATTTATATGAATGCTTATGACACTGTATTTTTTTTATTTTTTTTACAACACTTGATTGCAGCATTCTTTCCCAATGGCAATTACAACATACAATGTTATAGAAACCTCTCTTGAGATGCCAGCAAGTGACCATGTGACGAATTATATGAGATCAAGTATTCCATCGAATGCCCTTTGGTTGATGTAGCCTACAATACTCTTAAAAGTCAAGTTTCACAGACAGGCATAGCAATTCTAAGACAATTCTGTTACATATTTTAAGTAGATCATGTAAAACGTGACTATTCAATTATAAAAATACTGAAACAGTATATGAAATTAACAAATAATATAAGGTTCAAAATAAAAGTCTCAATCAAATTACAATAAAAAAAATATTCAAAACTGATCTGAAAACATATGAACTCTTTCCAAAATATATGAGAATAATAACAATAATAAAAATATGTCGTCTTGTTTTGGATTATCTGTGCTATTTTTATTTTTTTTGTAAACATCAATTTAAAAAAAAATTTAATTATAGGAGTTTATGCCATTAAATGTTGTATAAATTTAATTAGAAATCTAAATTTTAAATAAAATTTTAGCATTTTTCTCTTGGAAGAATCATCAGACCAGTTACTATGTAACGGTACATAATGAAACTTGTGCTTAATGCTTCTGTTGAGTTAGCTTCCTGTATTTCATACACTTCCTCTTCTGAGTTTGCAGTTCAGTTGAAAGAGCATGAAACTGTGTGATGGATTTCTTCAAAATGGCGTTAACTCTACATTTGACCTTCATTGTGGCGATTATCGGTCCTCTCATTTCCAGCACAGGTACAAAGTCACTGTAATATAACAACTGAAAACTACTAAATCTTGTTGTTGATTAATGTGTAATTATATAATTATAGCAGGAATTTTTAATGAAGATATGGCAAGGCAATTTTCAAACATTGCTGTCTTGTACCAATTACCTATTTTTATTTTTGTGAAAATCAATAGAAAATTGAATGTACCTTTATGGTTCATGCTTCTTTGTCTTTTTATTACCACTTTAACAGATTCCTAAATCCCTTTTAATGAGTAATAAATCACAGTTTAATGATAATTCGTTTGCAGCTATAATAGTGGGTTAATCAGTAATTGCTAAACAAGCAAAAGCATAAATGAGTTTAAAAAAAATCATATTTACTTATGAGCTTTGTTTGAGAATGGTGCCTCCAAATGGCCAGCTGGATCTTCTTTTTTCAGTTCTTTTCTTTTCAGTTTCTTTATTGGGTTTTTATATACAGAACAACAAGCTTACAGATAACAAAGTAAAAAAATATATTTATCTTGTTATCAAGATTTTTTTTCATAAATAACATCATAATTTAGAAGTAATGGGCATTATTCGACATTGTTGTCAAATCCAATATAGTTGGCACATGCGTGAATCAGTGGGCGGGGCTAAACAGACAGTGATGCAGAAGCAGGCAAAGGCAGTTTTTAGCCACACATTTACATCGTAAATTGGCACATTCCACAATCTGTCGTTTTGGCAGATTGAAACTTACAGGATAGTTTTATAGTACAATGAACTCATATCTGTCAAAAGATCAAGGGAATTTTGATTTCTCAGTTCATGACCCCTTTAATAAAAAAAGGGGTGTTCAAGTGTCAGCCAGTACTTTATCCAAAAAGAGATGCCATTTGATCTTTTTTCCAGCTTTATACAAGTAAACAACTCTTTAATCCACATATCGATGGTAGGTGTGAAACATGTCTAGCAAATGAAGTTGTAAAGACCAGAGGCTTCTACAGTGGTTTGGTGGATCTAATTTTTATACACTAATAAAACAAATGTTTTCTGCACTCACAAAATTTAAACTCCATTAATACAAACTTATCTAAACTAAATGTTTTATTTTTTTCTCCCTACAGTATCCAGTGACCAACCAATAACAAAAAAAGTCATGAAAGGAAAATCTGTTGAGCTGGAAACACAAAATAACTTGTCATTTGATCATTTTGAATGGATAAAAGATAAATCAGAGATTGTAGTCACATATGATTCTAAAACAGGACATACTGTATCTTCCCATGAGAGAGTGGATTTTAATAAACAAACACTTTCTCTAACAATAAAGAACACACAGGAGACAGACAGTGGACTCTACACTGCTAGAGCAAGTGGAGAATCAGATACTACCATCAGTCTCTACAATGTAATTGTTGGTAAGTTATTTGGGAGTTTTGTCACACTTAGAATTTAGGACCCCACATTTTACTCAACAAGTATAAAAATGTAGGTTGTAACTGTAGCATCGTCAACTCATATATGGATACAATTTAGTAGCCTTCAGATTAGCACATTTTGAACTGATCATGAAAGGAACAGTTCACCCAAAAATGGAAATTTGCTGCTAACACTTGCTCACCAGTGAATCCTCTGCAGTGAATGGGTGCCTTCAGAATGAGAGCCCAAACAGCTGATAAAAACATCACAACAATCCACAAGTAATCCACACAACTCCAGTCCATCAGTTGCATGTTTGTAATAAACAAATCCAACATTAAGACGGGAGAAAACAATATATTGCTTATATTATATTATTGCTTGTATTTTATATCAAATTAATATATTTATTTAGTTAGTTAAAATGCCCTAATGATGGATTTGTTTCTTACAAACAGCTTTTCACTTCACAAGTCATTAATTGATTGACAAGAGTCACGTTGATAACTTGGATTACTGCAGAGGATCCATTGGTGAGCATATGATCTAATGCTAAATTTATCTATATGTTTCGGGTAAAACATAAAAATAAAAATTACATCTGGCCTGAGGGTGAGTACATTTTCAATTATGGGTTAACTGTTCCTTTAAAGTTGAAGCTATAACTTTAATTTTGTGCATCAGGCATAAGAAATTGTTTTGGTTAAAACACAAATGAATTATCTTCATTATTATGAACTGACACATTCTTTCGTTTCTCAGTAGGTACAAGCAGTCAAGCATCAACTACAGAATCTCTCACTTGGATTATATTCCTTTTCCCCTTTGGTGCAATTATGATTTGAGCCAACTACTGTACTATAGCTACAGATGAACAAAAAAGTAAACTGTATGTATTGATTGCTTAACAATTATCATTACGTGCCTTCATGAACAAGCAATTTATAATTTCAAAAACATTTTCACGGCACAGTCAGCATTGGCTAATCAGTGTGTAAGCCTAACTTGTCCCACATTTGACATGGCAAATATGCTCCATATATTATAAAACAGATGAGGGCCACTTAACCACCGTAGGGAAACCATCCTTACAGCCTAATAGAATTTGGCTACTTTTAGTAGGATGCAACACAGTTAACTGATGCAGGTTTATCTGGATATGAGTCTTAAGAAGGCTACATACCCAGCAATTTATTTTTTGAAACATGCTTTTAATGGCAGTTATTGGTATCCGTACTGTGCAGCATAAAAACAGAAGTGCACTATAATGATAGATTTTACTGTCAAGGTTTCTGTTAATTTGGACTTTGTTTTTCCTTTGCACAGTTTCCCTTGTTGTTAACTCTGAAATGAGGGAAACTCTGGGTTTTCCGTTTCAGAATGGGAGATATGTCAAACCCGAGAAAGCAGGGTAAGTCAAGCCTGTTTCTGAAAAGGAGGTAGCTTATTCTCAAAATCAGTTACCATGGTAACTTACTCTGTGAACATACTCAGTTACTAATGTAACCACGGTTCCCTGAGTTAAGAGAACGAGTGCTGCGTCTTGCTAAAAGACGCTATGGGAAAAATACTTTTCTCCTGAACTGAAGCCTTTTTTCAACAACGCAGTGAAACTGCACGGCCATTGGTTCGTGCAGTGCCTTAAAAAACAAACCAATGGGTCGGCAGCGGTGCTGCACAAGCCTATGGTGACAAAGCCCGCCAGAATGGGCGGAGCCATCTGGCTATATAAGCAGGCATTCGCCACAGGATTCTCAGGTTACTTCGACTGAAGCGACCACTGAGTCGTGCAGCTACATAGCACGGCTAGGAACGCAGTACTCATTCCCGTATCTCAGGGAACGGAGGTTACATTAGTAACTGAGTACATTCCCTGTCGATACTTCACTCGTACTGTGTCTTGCTAAAAGACGCAGTGGGAACACAGTACAATCACGCCGTGCTATGGTAGAGGAACGACTGCATATTATAACCTCCATAAGCAAGGATGCCCATAGGGAAGTTAACAAATGAATTCCGAGGCTAAAACAGGCTGAACTCACCGAGGTCACGCCCGGCCTGAGTAATCGTTCCAAGGTACTCGTACACTTCGGCGCCCCAGGGGCTGAGAACCGACAAGTAACTAACCCAAGAGCTTCTTCTGCTGGGAGTATTTGGAGTTTCTGCGCGAGAGCGCCCTCTGGCCTTCAGATGGAGATTTACTGCTGATCACAGAACCATGCTTCACTGAAAGATATGCTTGACAATGGCAGCTTCTGTCTAATCGCGATTTCTATTTCATTTCAATTTATCGTGCTGCCCTACTTTAAAATATGTTGAGTATTGTTGATGCATAACTCACTCAACCGCTTGGGGTCGGCAAAGGCGCTGGTGGGAGCAATTGCATATTTTTCAGATGACAGAGAAAAGAACTTAAAAATGCTCTGTCACATTTGATTGGACTCATAAAAGTAATACATAACTTGAATCTGTAAAGGGTCTACTTTTATTCGTGTATGCTCACCATATCAACAAAATGTTGTGCTTTTGTAAAATAAAGAAAACTAACAGGGAGCGCTCTCAGTCTTCACTGTCTTTTAGAAATGCATCACTAAAATGAACTGAAACTCAGCGAATATTTTACACATACAGGTGCATCTCAATAAATTTGAATGTCGTGGAAAAGTTCATTTATTTCAGTAATTCAACTCAAATTGTGAAACTCGTGTATTAAATAAATTCAATGCACACAGACTGAAGCAGTTTAAGTCTTTGGTTCTTTTAATTGTGATGATTTTGGCTCACATTTAACAAAAACCCACCAATTCACTATCTCAACAAATTAGAATATGGTGACATGCCAACTCAACTCACATTGGTCTTATGAAGTATTCTAATTTGTTGAGATAGTGAATTGGTGGGTTTTTGTTAAATGTGAGCCAAAATCATCACAATTAAAAGAGCCAAAGACTTAAACTACTTCATTCTGTGTGCATTGAATTTATTTAATACACGAGTTTCACAATTTGAGTTGAAGTACTGAAATAAATGAACTTTTCCACAACATTCTAATTTATTGAGATGCACCTGTAGACTTGAGAAATATATCTATAGAAAGCTTGACATATCTACTCTTAAATTAAGTAACTCTTACCGAAAACAAATATTCTGTGATAAAGTAATCCGTATGAAACCAACGACAGGTCCTGTTTTTCCATCTAAACTCATTATCTCTAATTTGATAATTCTATTTTTATATTACAAATCTCCACGTGAGACATGCGACATGTAAATGCCGTTAAATCACCATAAACAAAGCAGCAACATGTTCATCTCGGATACTTTTAGTTTTTGGAAGAAGACGCTGAGTGGAATAAGCCTTGTATTTACCTCAGAATACATGCTGAGAGGAAAAAGCCTAATGATGCTAAAAATTCAGCTTTGAAATCACAGGAATAATTTATATTTTATAATATATTTAAATAGAAAACCGTCATTTTGAATAGTAAAAATATTTCAAAATGTTGCTGTTTTGCTGTACTTTGGATCAAATAAATGCAGGCTTGGTGAACAGACGAGACTTCTTTAAAAATTACAAATCTTACTGTTTAAAAACTTTTGACTGGTAATGTAGCCTATATAATGTCACCATGTTTGTTTGCTCTGTCTTTGTCCGATCATTGTGTTACTCACTTCCATTTGTTTTCTCGTGCAGTTTCTGCTGTCTCCCATTTTCCTGCATTCCAGTTTCCTGACACTGTTTTGGATATTTTGGAAATTACACCCACGATGTCTTGACTCTTGTGTTGTTTATTTGTTTGTTTGTTCCTAATAAATGGTTTAACTGCATTTACAAGTGAATCTCAAGTTATTTTGTGAGAGTTGAATATATTCTAAATAAACTACAAACAAAAAAATATATACATTTCTTTTGTCCTCACATTCTTTCTTGTAACTATTCCCTCTCAGTTACACACCTGACTGAAAGGCTATTATGCAGCTCATTATGTGGGCCTTTGTCTTCTCTGGTGTGAATCACACTATTATTCATGATCATTCACACCTCCTTGCATACAGGCTTTCTAGACAAAAAGTGACTTAGAAAATTAAATGAATATATTGTTTTCTGTGAATGAGTGAACAACATCATTTTGAAGCAAAAACTCTAGGCTACAAGATCCAGTTCTCAAAAGTCTTGTGAACAAATGTTCTGTAAGTGTTTTATGGCCTTATTCAAGTGATTTAAAATTTTTAGTTTTTCACTAACCACGCATAAACATTGCTTTCTCAAAAACAATCATGTACATACATGCTGCTCACACATTATTGTAGCCCAGTTTGTGGTGATTACGGTGTTATTAGACTTTAGCTATTTATATGTTTATAAGCAAATGAGAAAAAGTACAAATGTCAGGGTGTCAAAACAAGGCTTAGTGTGGCCCAAATAATGTATATTTATGGTTTATTTGGTTCAATATTAGCTCAAATGTGGCTGTGCAGTGGCCTGCTTGTGGACCACTGCCAAAATGCTACCATTCCATGCAGCATGTGGGCTACATGAGGAATGTGGGGAAGACCAGGGTTAGAATAAAAATAAACTGTGGCCCACATTAGGGCCAGTTTTGGTTTATTTGGTTGGCATGCGGCAATGCTAAGGTTTACTTGAGGCCTAAATCTGGCTAGGGCCGGATTGCCCAAATGCCATTATTCCACATGGTATGTGGGCCGGAGCAAGGTGTTGGATCTGGGCCAGAATTAAAATAAATGTGGCCCAGATTTGGGCCAGTTCTGCTTTATTTTATTTATTTATTTATTGTCATGGCTGCCATGTGGCTTTTCTATGGCTTGCTTGTGGCCCAAATTTGTCAAACAGGTGTGGACCACCCAAATGCCATCATTCTACATAGTATGCGGGCCAGAGCAAGGTGTTAAATCTGGGCCAGAATTTAAATAAATGTGGCCCAGATTTGGGCCAGTTCTGGTTTATTTTATTTATTTATTTCCATGGCTGACATGTGGCCTACCAATGGCTTGCTTGTGGCCCAAATTTTGCAAACAGGAGTGGACCGCCCAAGTGCCATCATTCTTCACAGTATGTGGGCTGAAGCAAGGTGTTGGATAGGGGCTGGATCTGGGCCAGAATTAAAATCAATGTGGCCCAGATGTGGGCCAGTTCTGCTTTTTTTGGTTTATTCATGGCTGACATTGGGCCTTCCTTTGGCTTGCTTGTGGCCCAAATTTGGCAAACAGGAGCGGACCACCCAAGTGCCATCATTCTTCACAGTATGCAGGCCGGAGCAAGGTGTTGGATCTGGGCCGGATCTGGGACAAAATAAAATCAGTGTGGCCCAGATTTGGGCCAGTTCTGCTTTATTTGGTTTATTCATGGCTGACATTGAGCCTTCCTTTGGCTTGCTTGTGGCCCAAATTTGGCAAACAGGAGCGGACCACCCAAGTGCCATCATTCTTCACAGTATGCAGGCCGGAGCAAGGTGTTGGATCTGGGCCGGATCTGGGACAAAATAAAATCAGTGTGGCCCAGATTTGGGCCAGTTCTGCTTTATTTGGTTTATTCATGGCTGACATTGAGCCTTCCTTTGGCTTACTTGTGGCCCAAATAAGGAATTTTGCTATCTGGGCAATCAATTTAAGGGCAAACAGAATAGTCCCAAGAGACATTTGAATTGCATCATGAATGCGGAAGATTATCATAGAAGATTGGTTAGTTAAGTTGTCTGTGAACCAGGAATTAATACAAAATGATCTAGCAGAAAACTACCCAGATAGCAAAAATCATCTGGGCCAGATCTGGCCCAGACCCATCTGAAGTTCTGGTCCAGATCCGCACAACGGACTCGGGCTGGTGTCTTTTGGCACAACAGGCCAATACCGGCACGGATCCGTTTTTCCGGATCTGGAGCAGAACTGGGTCAGCTCTAGACCAGATGCGGATTCCTTTATTGTGATTTGGGCCAAATGTGGACCGGACCTGGTCCAGCACCATGCCGGATCTGGGCCAGCTCATTTTGATAACAATTGCTTTATTATTAGTAAAAGCAAGGCAAACATTATAATACTTTCTCGTTTACCGTCAGCAAGGCCTACACACACACACAAACACACACAAATAAGTTGTATACATATCTAGAATTCAAATACAATTAGTTTATTTGTATAGTGCTTTTCACAATACATATTTCAATACAGCTTTACAGAAAATGCATGTTACTTTGTTACAAATAAAAAGAGTAATGTCCATATGCCACAGTATGTGTACAGTTCCCAGATAATACAAATCATATAAGTAGATTATGACTGTATTTAAGCATA